GATAATTATTTTCTTTAATAGTGATGCTTAAGGTTCTTGTCATAATTGTTGTATATTGTTTATTTTATATTGTTTTTTGTTTGCTGAGTGGTTAAAAACAAAATTCCCAGAGAAAAAAGACATTCCATAATTAGAGGACAAAATAAAAAACCTTATAAAAGATTATTATGGCAAAAAAGCATTATTGTCGAAAGTGCCAAAATCTCATTGAGGAGGGAAAGGAAATTAAATTTAATGAAGGAACTGATTATTATCATTCCCGCTATTCTTCGGGCCCACGAAGTTATGTTACTTATTATCTTTGTCCCAACTGTTATCAACAACAAAAAGAGGAAATTCAAGCCAAAAATAAGAAAACTTGACAACAAGTTGGTTGAGCTTTGGCAATCCTCTTAATAGTCCTGACGTTATTTGTTGTTTTGTTTCTCCTTTACCAGTATCGCCGAGATAAAAAAATCGATAAAATAACCAAAAGGGTTCAGAAAAAATAATTATTAGGATGAAAGTCAAAAGCAAAACTAAATTATATAATAATATAAAATAAATTAAGGGACAGAAAGCGAGCGATTGACGAAAGAGTTAAAATGCTCTCTCTCTCTCTCTCTCTCTCTCTCTCTGTAAAATTAAAAAGCAATTAAATAAAAATATAAAAGTTATGAACAGATACAATAATAAAGATTTATATCAAATATTAGGAGTAAACAAAGATGCTAGTCAGCAGCAAATCATTAAAGTTAGTCAGGATTTAATTCCTAAGAATCCGAACGAACCGGTTCAAATTTCCCGAGAAATTGATGAAGCCATTATGGTTTTGACTGATTCGCAAAAGAAAATAGAATATGATAAATATGGATGAAAAGATGAATGAAGGAATGAAGCGGAGGAAAGAAGGGCTTTTCGGCATTCGATTTTTGAAGCAATTCAAAACTATAAACACCATTATGGTAATACGTATGCTTTAAAACCTGATGGATTTAGAGTTTATGTGTGACCAGGCAAACATTTAGACCCTAATTTGTGGGCTCCAACTGAGTGTTGAGTATCTAAAATTTGGGATATCAGAGGTTCTAATTGAAAGCAGGAATTAGAGAATTTTAAAAATAAAATGTTAGTGGCCCTTGACGAAGCCTGAGAAAGAGAAAAAAAAACTCCTTTACTTAGTGATTGCTGAGAAGCAGTAAAGGGTGGAAATTGTGCTAATTGTGGAAAGGATGCTAAACTTCGTTGAAAAGGAAAAAATTCAGATGACAAAATTTATTGTTCGCAGGAGTGCCATTGAGAAAATGCATATAAAGTGCCAAAATATGAACTTGAAAAGATAAAATATGAAATTCCAGAGTTGGAAAAACCAAAACTAGAAAAGTATAAATGTGCTGGATGTCATTATAAAGGATATGATTGCTACAAAAGAGGTGATGGAAGTTTTCGCTGTAAAGCATGTTTTAATAAGGAGTTGGAGAAATTAAGAAATTCTTTCAAAGATGGCGGTAATAAGGAATATGAAAGTAATGAAAAATGTGATTATTGTGGTAAAAAGATTAAATATCAACAAGAAGGGAATAGTCATGCTTTTAGGGGAGGAATAGGAAGTGTTGACAATGAGGGAAATCACTACACATTTTGTTCGGAGGAGTGTTCTAATAAAGGAATGAAAGGTAAAGGAAAATGGGTGGCAAGAAAAAATCCTTTCGCAGAACTTTTGAAGTGAATGGAAAAAGAAGGAATTACCAATATTTCTCTGGACCCTAACAGTGGAAAATTGACCTTGGAATATGGCAAAAATAATTCAAAAACTATTGAAGATGACAATTTAACTTCCGAGCAAAGAGAAATAAAGAGTTTTTTTCAACAAATTGGCAAAACCAGCCTTAGTCAAAATGAGGCAAGAGCGAAAGCAGAAGCCGAAGAAAAAGGTAATAATGATAATAAATGAGTTAAACCATTGGTAATAGGAGGAATTATTGCCGTGGTTATAACTTTAATTGGGATTATCATCTACAAGAACAAGAAAAAAGGTTATCAATACTAGCCGTCAATGTTGTGAAAGTTTTGGTATTGATTGAAAAAAGTTTACAAAAATATAAAGAGGGTATTTTCTCCGGTAGCGACTACTCCTAGTTTGGCTGATACCCAGGTTTCTATTGGGATAATTAATGACAAAATTAAACTATTAAAAGGAACTAATAAGAACGCAATTAATGTTGTCGCTTACCAAAAATATTTTGATTTTTTAGAAAGATTGGGTTTAAAAGAGGAGTTTAGCATTATCACTACTCACGACGGTTTAGTCCTCTATGCTACTATTGTTCGGCCACTTTTAATAAATGACAATAATAATAAGGCAGTTATTTTTTGTCATGGCTTGACTAATAACCGCTGGTCGCTTTTTTATACCATGCACTTAGCGTTGCAAAGAGGTTATCAAGTAGTCTCTTACGATGCTCGCAATCATGGTCTTTCTGGCAAATCACCCACTACCCTCGGGCAAATTGAGGCCTGCGACTTACAGGATATTATTGACTATGTGAAAACAAAATATCACCCGGAAAAAATAGGTCTTTATGGTTTTTCCATGGGAGCGGCTACCTTAATTTTTTGGTTAGGCTATTTTGCTGGCCCTAGTAATTCAGAAGTATCATTTGCTATCTGTGAGACGCCCTTTGACCGTTTTACTACCCAGTATGAAAGAGCCTTGGGAAGCGGAATAAATTACTATTGAAAACATATTCTCCTGAAAAAAATGATTAAGGAAACTCTTCACTCCTCACGGCAGAAATTAGAAAGAGTAAATCCCTACTTAGTTCTGCCGCACGATTTACCAATTAAATTATTATTACTTCATGGCTTAGAAGATGCCGTAATTGATTGACGAGCCTCCTTTAAACTTCATTACCAATTGAAGAAAAATAAACTAAACAAAAACAAGATTAACCTCTACTTGTGCCGTCATGCTGACCATGGCGAATTGCCTTTTATTAGTGACTATGTTCCTCACAGTCTTTGTTGAAAAAACAGAAAAAAAAAATCACAATTTAATTTCACTACTCTTTTCTGTAATTATTTACAAAAGAACTTATAGATAGGGTAAACGAGACAAAATTATTATCATGCTATGTAGTAAATGCCATAAAGAAATCGAACCAGGAAAAGAAATACACATTGAAGGCTTGAAAGTTTGTAAAAATTGTGCTGAAAAAATAACTATTGATTGCTACACTTGCGATGATAAAATTCCTTACAACAAGCCAGTTCATAAAAGTTCAAGAAATTGAAACAAAGGCTTTAATATTTGGCTATTCTTTGCCAACGAAGGAAATTCGGAAGAGGTAAATCAATGTAATAAATGCTATCGAGCATGGAAAGGTAGAATGGAAAGATGAGAGAAATTAAGAAAAGCAACGAATTGATTGATAGGTGTTTGCATAAGCATTCTTCTTTGTTGATGTTTTGAGTTATTTTACCCCGAGCAATTTAAAAAGGTAGAAAACTCAACACCTTTCGCCTTTATTATTGTGATGTTTGCAGCGTACATAATTTTTCTCTTTATAGGGATATTTGTAGAAATAGGTAGATACAGGGACATGAGAGAAGCAAGAAGAAAAAAAGAGGAGAAAAATAAAACAAAAAACCGTAATAAAAAAATAATTAATGACAGACAAGTCAAAAGAAAAGGAACTAGTTAACAGTTGAATCTTAAGTGAGTTAGCCATTTTACAACAAGACTATCTTTATCACTTAGAAAAAAAAGAGATTAATTTCGCCACTGCTAAACTCATTAAATTTACTCGGGAAAAATTAAGTAATGAATATTTAGAATTAATAAAAATTTCCCCCTGGGATGCCAGCACCAAAAATACGGTACTTTTTGTTTATCGGCAATTATTAATTATGCTTCATCCCGCTATTCCTTTTATTACTGAATACATTTACCAAGAAATCACCCAGCAGGAAATATTGAGTGGAAAAATTGAAAAAATGGAAATTAAAACGGAAAAAAATGACCTTTGACAAATTGATTGCTTGCTCCTTTTAATAAGTAGTATTCGCAATTTTCAGCAAAAAAGTAAAGTGAATGAGTTTTATTTAGAATTGGTTTCTGAATGAAAAGATAAATTGAATATTGTCCTTGATTTTAACCAATATTTAAAACCATTAACCAAGAGCAAAGTTTCTATTTTAGAAAAAAAGGAAAAAAAAGAGTTTAGTTCCTTTTTGGATTTACAACCTTTTGGAATTTTGTGATATCACGAGCAAGTTGATAAGCAAGAGTTAGAAAAAAAACTAAACTTCTACGAGACAGAATGCCAAATAATAAATAAGCACTGATTAAAAAACCATAATTTTCTTGCTAATGCCTCTTCTCAACTAGTAGAAGAAAAAAAAAGAAAATTAGCCTATTGCCAAGAGCAAAAGAAAAAAATCCAAGCCGAGTTAGAAAAACTTTTAAAATTAGATTAAATAATGATTATGAAAAGCAACCAAAAAAAACCTTTTAAGGAAATATTGGCCGAAATTGAAAGTCCGCAGGATTGAGGAAATGGCTCTTGGTCTTTACCAGTTAATCCTACCCCATTAGAAAAAGCCAAATATGAACTTTGTCGGCAAATAGTAGTCTATAAGCAAGACAATAACTTATCCACACCAGAGATAGCCCAAAAAATTAACCTAACTAATTCCGAAACCCAAGATATCTTATTTTATCACATTGATTATTTTACCCTTGATAGATTAATAACCTATGCGGGACGACTTTTTTCGCCTTCGGAAGTAAAAGTAATTGTTGAACCTAAAAAAAGCACTCGCCTTCATGCCCGAACTGTTTAGGCTGGATAATAAAGAATTTAGCAAAAAAGATAATGAAATAAATAATCTCTGATTACTTTATTCCTAATGACGATGAACCTACTCTTGATTAATTACTTTTTATTTTAACACTAGAAAAATTACCAAAATAACCATCACCGACCATTATCAGCAAGAACACTCCGAAATCACTAACGAACTTATTTTAAATATTTTTCAAGCCAAGTTAAATGGAGAAAGGAGAGAACCCCGAAAAAAGCACGATAAACGCGATATCTTTGTTGAAGAAAGAATTTCCTACAATAGCAAAAAGTATCGTTTAGTTTTCTGATTTAAGGACGGCACTACTAACCATCTCTGAATTAGAAACTGCCACCAGCAGGATTAAAACCATAATATTATTTTCCGCAACATTCAAGAATATAATTAATTGATTAGTCAATAAACCAAGAATATTTTACCTGATTTTTGCGAGTATTTTAAAAGGTTAAAATAACAAAAATTTCCTTCCTCGAACCAAAAATTTATATAAAATATAATTAAGGAGGTAGAAAGTGAGTGATGATGTGAAAGAGATATTAAGTCGTCTCTCTCTCTCTCTCTCTCTCTGCATACAAATCAAATCAATAAAAAAAGAAAAAAATGGCAAAAGAATTTAAAATCAATAAAGAAACTAAAAAAATAACTGACTACGATGATAAGGAAATAAGCATAGAAGAATATAACAGTTTATATAAGCAAAGACAACATCCTACGTGGGTTAGGCTTCAAGAGTTATATGATAAATTTAGCGGATGTCAAAAAGACATGACATTAACTGATAAGGAAAGACTGGAGGAATGAAAAAAGTCAGAAACGGTTAACAGTAAACTTTGACAAGATATTAAGAATAAATATGATAATGAAATTTATAATGCAAGAGAAGGGATAAATACTCTTTGACCTTCTGATTTTGACGACGGAAGAGCGGAAGGTTATGTAAAATATTGCGAAAAAGTATTTAAAAAAGCCCAAGAACTTTTGTCAATGTTGGAACAAATGGAAAACCATTGAAAAGCCACTGGTAACGACACTAAAAAACCTCTCAATGACCCTCTTAAAGACCAGGACCGGGGAGAATTAGGCAAAAGAGCCAATGAAATAGAAGCATATCGAAAAAAAGCCAAACAGGAAATTGAAAATGCTCTTAACCAGGACCCCAAAATTACTAATGAGGAATTAGAAACAAATAATCGCAATTGAGAAAATAGTATTTGATATTCACTTTTTGCCCTCGGGGAAAAAGAAATTGATGATATCAAATCCCGTGTCTTAGCCGACATCGAAGCCAAACGCAATGCCAAAAAAGGCAAACGCAAAAGGGAAGATGAAAAAAATGATACTCCAAATGAACAACCTGACCCCAAAAAAACAAAAAGCGACTATGATGCTCTCAAAAATAAAACTTTGGGAGAAATTACTAATAATGAAGCGGCAACAGTATTAAAAGAATCAACTAAATTAGAAGGGGAACAAGGATACAACCAAGATGAAAAAATAGAATCCATGGAAGATAAATTAATAGCAGATGACCCTGAACTTTACCGGCAAACAATTATTGAGGCTCTTAAAGAGCGAATGAAAGACTTGAATGTTAAAAAAGAAGACTTGGATGAAGACACTAAAAAGTTAATTGAAGGCAAAATCACTGATGCTCACCAAGTTAAGGTCATTAAAAACCAAGCGGTCAAAAAAATTGGTGAATTAGGTGCTAAAAACAAATTAACTTCTTTATTTAGCCAAGCCCAAGCACTTATAAAAAAAGCCCAAAAAAATGTTACTGAGAAAATAAAACAAGACATAAAAACTGTTCAAGAGCAGTTGAAAAGTTTTAAATCAGGAACT